GCCGTGCATGCTTCTTGTTTGAGCCATTCTGACATTTGTGACACCGACATTTCTGCATCGTGATCGAGTTGAAAAACACGGGCACATACGTCTGTATGCCTCTTGGATACAAATTATAATGGTAAAGAACACATGTGCTATAGTGCCTGACACGTCGATACGCTTCGTCACAACAGTCCATTGTATGATTCGCTAGACGAATGCACAGCAGTGCCATTATCGGGTGGGTAATTACCCTTTTACGATACTCGCGAGATATATGTGTGTATGGAAATAACTGCAATCTCTCCTCGTTATTGCGCTTGGTCTGTTCCAACATCGGCACCATTGCAGACACGTCAGTTAAACAGCCGTGCATTGGGTATGACGGGTGCCATCAACGATACCGCGTGCATCATGTAATATACGTACTATTTCACATTGAGTATCAACTGTCGATCGCGAGCATCTCGTCGTAACTGTAGTTATATATATATTAATATATCTATATATATATATATATCATATGTATATTATATATATATTATATATATATATTATATATATATATATTGCTCATATATGCAGTTCGCGCGATGTTAGATGCTCGTTTTGTTTGCCTTGTGTTTACGTTCGATTTAATAAGCTCGGACAAACTGCGCCTACCTACTCTGTGGTTACAATGCGCGCGCTCGCACAACAAGGCTTTACTGAGCGTCTGAGAGCGTTTCCTTCATTACAATCTGTCATGTTCCATACAACCAGCAAGTGTTTAACCATTCATCGATTTTAATGAGTTACAACATAATTCTTTCTATTACCACGTGATGTATTATCGCATTTCGTTTCGCTGAGGACAGTTTTTTTTAATTATTATTTTCTTCTTATTAATATTATAGTTATTATTACAATGATTTTTGGTGCCTGATTGATAATCGCATGCAATTATATGGTGAATGTCACGTACGCATACTCACGTTCTCATGCCTATGCGCGAACCACAGCACCATTGTTCATACTTCGGCACTTACATGTTACATGTTACTTGTTCATACATCGTGTAAATTCCTGCACAAGAGCTAAGTAACTAGCTTAGCAATTCAGCGGAATTTAACATTAATGAATGCGATATCACAATGTACTCTATCTATCTATAATTTATACATATATATATATTATATCTATATCTATATGTGTTTGTGTGTGTGTGTGTGTGGATGTGGTGTGTGTGTGTGTGTGTGTTGGTTGTGTGTGTGTGTGTGTGTGTGTGTGTGTGTGTGTGTGTGTGTGTTCTGTGTGTGCGTGTGCGTGTGCGTCTGCGTGCTGTGTGTGAGTGTGTGAGTGTGCGCGCGCTTGTGTGTGTAGACGCTAAGGACTTACTTGGAGCTTGGGATACACAATGCGAATTTCGCTGCGATCATATCCGCAGCGAAATTCACGGCGGAAATATTTGCACCCGCATGCGATAATTGAGCGAATGCGAATTTATTCGCACGACCGCAGCGGACACACTACACGCTATCTACTGTCGCCACACGGCTATAACCATGGCTCCAACAGTCATGTGGTCATCTTTCACTCACGTGATGATGATACATGGTGATACTGATCAATGATTCGCTGCATTATAACATCGGCTGGCTTGATTTTCGCTTCCACGGACACACGATGGGAATCTGTACGCAGCGGTAAAAATCCGCAGCGAAAATATCAAACACTAGCAGGACACCCGGCGTTGCCCGGGGACATAAAGCGCTCAGTTGGTGATCACTTGGTTAAAAAAAAATACACAAAAATATATCGTGATCTTCGTTATATATCTATTATCTATCCTATCTATCTATCTATCTGTCTATCTATCTATCCCATCTATCTCTCAATCTATTTTACTTATCTATCCTATCTATCTATCTATGTAACTATCTCAATCTATCTTATCTATCATATCTATCTATCTATATCTATGCTACTCTATCTATCTATCTATTCTATCTATCTATCTACTATCTATCTAGTCTATCTTATCTATCCTATCCTATCTATCTTATCTACTTCTATCTACTCTATCTATCTCATCTATCTATTTCTATCTATCTATCTATCTATCTATCTAGCTGATCAATATCAGAAGTAGATAAAATAGGGAAACGCCTAGGAATCGCCTATTATCCACTTCTGATCTATATGTAGCTATGCATCTAATCTATCTATCTATCTATCTATCTAGTCTATCTATCTATCTATCTATCTATTCTATCTATCTATCTATCTATCTATCTACTATCATATCTATCTATTCATTATCTATCTATCTATCTATCTATCTATCTTATCTATCTATCTAATCTATCTATCTATCTATCTATCTATCTATCTATCTATCTATCTATCTATCTATCTATTTATCTATCTATCTATCTATCTATCTATCTATCTATCTAATCTATCTATCTGATCTATCTATCTATCTATCTATCTATCTATCTATCTATCTATCTATCTATCTATCTATCTTATCTATCTATCTATCTATCGTATCTATCTATCTATCTATCTATCTATCTTCTATTCTATCTATCTGATCTATCTACTATCTATCTATCTATCTATCTATCTATCTATATCTAGTCTATCACACTCTATAGTCGTATAATAGTGCTACGATAGTGCTTGCCACTCATGTATCCAGAGAGACATGATACAAGATTGCGTGGCCACAGCTTTGCTGTTGATCCTAAGCGCTGCGCGCGCGATGCGAGACGCGCAGTTCCGCGGATATTGCGCGCCGCGGCGACGGCGGGAATGTAAGAAGCGCTGCTCCGCAGTGGAGGACGTGCGGCCAAATTCGAAGCCCGGCGCACGTTCTCACAGCGGTCAGCGATGGTCTGTAGGTTTAGAAGATGACAATGATTATATATGGGGATGCTCCTCTGCAACACACATGTACACCGCATGCACGCTGCCGCACACTAAAACATAAATATATATATATAAATTGTCGGCAATAATAGACGAAAGAGAGCAGAGAAACATTAAGACTTTGGTAGTAAATAGATTTCGTATTTATTTAGCATTATATTTTATTGAAACGCTCCAAGTGCCTGTGAACAAGGAGAGAGAGATGTTGTAAGCAGTAAAGTAGTAGGAGTAGAGTAGAGAGAGATGTAGTAAATAGTAGAGTAGTAGGAGTAGAGTAGAGAGAGAGAGAGATGTAGTACGCACATGGAAGGAATGATGGAGCTAGCAAACAATTAAGTAGGAGAAGTGATTACGGGACATGGAGCGTGGAGATAGATACAGTGCGTAGGCATCTCGGTAGTTAGATATGGGAATAGGAAGCACGAGAAAAGAGAGATGGGGATAGCGAATATGGGAAAGGGGATAGGGAGCACGAGAAAAGAGAAATGGAGATATAGGGAGCACGAGAAAAGAGAAATGGGGATATAGAAAGGACGAGAATGGATAAATGGGGATATAGGAAGGACGAGAATGGAGAAATTGAGATAAAAGAGAGAACGGGAAAGAAGAAGCGCAGCTAGCGAACACAGAGGAATAGTTGTGGAAATAAGCGAACACGATAGAGCGTCTAAATGTGATTACACCCGACAAGACACCGATCAATGACTTTATCTGTGCTTTCATTCTTCTCGCAAAGAACGGTGACATAGACCCGACCGTGCAGGATGAAGATGATAGAGGAATCTGGGGATCACAATGGGAGTTCCTTCTCTCGTGTATCGGCCTATCTGTCGGGATCGGAAATGTGTGGCGTTTTCCCTATCTCGCCTACGATAATGGCGGCGGTAAGGTTTCTTACTTTTACAATTTCTCGTATACGCTTGAATATTCTCAAGGATGACTCCCCCGAAACGATGACGATAACGTTTTTTATTGTTATTTTAAATTATTTATCGTATCATAAGCATAATGATCATTTCGCATAATATACAAATAAAATGATAGCGTGTGGTCTCTTCGGCGAACGTCCAAACCTCGTTTGTTCAATAAAGTAGTAGAATATCATTTCATCAACGATACTGATCGAAGTTTGATTATTTTATTTTTTGTCACGCGCAGGTGCCTTTCTCATACCATACATAATTGTGCTGCTGTTGGTGGGAAAGCCCATGTACTACATGGAGCTTGCGCTGGGACAATATGGCGGCGAGGCACCCTTAACCATCTTTTCTTGCGTGCCCATCGCTAAAGGTAACAGAACGGGCAAAAGCGTGCATTACCGTGACCAAAGTGATCACGATCGCGTGCGATCACAAAAGCATAAAGCATATTGGCATAAAAGCATAAAGCATAAAGCATAAAGCATAAAGCATAACGGAGGCGAGTCTTGTGAATATACGATTAGAATGTGATGACGATGCGGAGACTCGACATTTTTATCGTGCTAAACATAACCCTAAATATAAACCTAAACCTGAACCTAACCCTAAATATGAACCTAATCTAAACCCTAACCCTATTCCTAAACCTAGCATTAACACCTTAACGCTGACGCATGGCACTGGGAGGGGGGTGGACGACGCCCCTACCTATATATAACAGGATTCACCATTGTACATTCCGTCGAGTTGTATTCAAAGATCACAGAACGGCGATCGGGAAAACGGAATTTTTGTACATACTAACGCTTTATAATGCCTTTCTCGGAGTTGCACATAACATCTAGACTCGCTTACTGTTCTAGCACTACCTGTTACCTTTGATTCATGCTGTTGTTTACGCAGGTGTCGGCGCTGCTATGGTCATGGTCTCCCTGATAGTAGCGATTTATTACAACGTGATAATGTCCTACACGCTATACTACATGTTTGCCTCCATGCAAAAAGTATTACCATGGACGACATGCAATAATGAATGGAACACGAAGTACTGTTACGTGAGGTATGTGTGTTATGCCATTCTATACATCTTTCGCATCCGTACCTCCACCAATAATATCTTGAAAGAAAGTAGCTGCTATAATATCGTATTATAGACAGAAAAAAACACCGAATTTACTATAGGGGCAAGCAATGCAGGATCTCTAGATATTTATTACCGCTGAGGGTGTCAAAGTGACATTGACCCAATAATATCTCGTTTTCTGAACCACATAGAATAGTAATTTACCAACTAATAGCATAAACTAATTACATTTTCAACACCACGCGTCTTTCGCGTAAATAGCGTGGTTTAAGAATGAAAGAAATTGCTCAGGATAAATAAAATTAGAACGGATTCGATTATTGATGTTGCATGTTTCTACTATACACCCACAAATACACCATATCTGCAAATACACCCACTCGTACTGCCTGACAATTGTCAGCAACGAAAACGGCGTCCATCTTGAAACGATTCAATGTTAAAATAGAAGAAATGGTATTTTTCTCAACGCTGTATTTTTTTAGGGGTGAAAACATCACATACTTCACGAATCTGATCGCCAACACGAGTTTGACATTGAAAACGGCCGCAGAAGAGTATTACAAGTAAGTGCATATCATCACCATCGTACAATGCGTGTGTGTGTGTGTGTGTGTGTGTGTGTGTGTGTGTGTGTGTGTGTGTGCGCGCGTGCGTGCGCGTGCGTGCGTGCGTGTGTGTGTGTGAATTGCACTAGAATCTACAGGTTGCTAGCATAACCATGAAAAAGGCAGTGCCATTGTTTGTTGCTTGCATGTTTCGTCTGACGCACCATTAATTAACGCGTGTGTAAATTAACGCGTGTATAAATTAACGCGTGTGTTAATTAACGCGTGTGTAAATTAACGCGTGTGTTAAGTGTTAATTAACGCGTGATGCTGCTCATCACTCTAGCAACAAGGTACTCGGAGCTAACGTGATCGAGGATGGAGTCCAGGTCTCGTCCTACAACATCGCGAATCTCGGCCCCATCAAGTGGGATGTCGTCCTCTGCTTGCTCCTGTCCTGGATCGTCGTCTTCGCCTGTCTCATGAAGGGTATTAAGTCATCCGGCAAGGTATGCGCGCCGTGGGTGTGTCTACCTCGTGAACCGTAGTAGAAGATATAGTATTGGTTTTGCTAGTGGTATTGGTTGTGGTAGTGGTAGCGGTAGCGGTAGTGGTTGCGGTTGTGTGGTTGTGGTTGTGGTTGTGGTTGTGGTTGTGGTAGTAATAGAGGTTGTGGTTGTGGTTGTGGTTGTGGTAGTAATAGAGGTTGTGGTTGTGGTTGTGGTTGTGGTAGTAATAGAGGTTGTGGTTGTGGTTGTGGTTGTGGTAGTAATAGAGGTTGTGGTTGTGGTTGTGGTTGTGGTTGTGGTTGTGGTTGTGGTTGTGGTTGTGGTTGTGGTTGTGGTTGTGGTTGTGGTTGTGGTTGTGGCCACAACCACGACCACAAAATGACCACGACCACAACCACAATCATGACCACGACCACGACCACAACCACGACCACAAAACTACCTCGTGGTCGTGGTCGTGGTTGTAGTCGTTTGTCGTCGTGGCCGTGGTTGTGGTTGTGGTCGTGGTCGTGGTTGTGGTCGTGGTCGTTTTGTCGTCGTGGTCGTGGTTGTGGTTGTGGTCGTGGTTGTGGTCGTTTTGTCGTCGTGGTCGTGGTCGTGGTCGTGGTCGTGGTTGTGGTTGTGGTTGTAGTCGTTTTGTGGTTGTGGTTGTGGTCGTTTTGTGGTCGTGGTTGTGGTCGTGGTCGTGGTCGTGGTTGTGGTCGTGATAGTGGTTGTAGTCGTTTTGTGGTCGTGGTCGTGGTTGTGGTCGTTTTGTGGTCGTGGTTGTGGTCGTAGTCGTGGTCGTGGTCGTTGTCGTGGTCGTGGTCGTTTTGTGGTCGCGGTTGTGGTTATGGTCGGGCAGACGGCTGCAGTTTAACGTCTGCAGTCATACTCTTTTGATATACTCACTGAGTTTAGTGCATTGTAACCCGGCTACCAGATTGAAATTTTAAACTAATCAGTAATGACGTGGTAGAACCTCTACCGTTACGTTTTACCTGTTTATGCATTATCGATGACAGCTTGTGAGCGTTATTTATTATCTCTGTTAGCATGCCTCTCCATGTGACCATGGGATACGCAGATAATTGGGAATGCGCAAACGTAAGCCCCAGCAATGCATCATGGTCAGTCGCGCTAAAGTCTTTAGGCTGTGATTAGCTGCTTATCGTGCCCGAGAGACGACGTGGTGGTGCGGACCAACCCCGAGTCGGAGTAAATTATGTGTTTATGTGCAGGCAATCTAACGGCAAATAAGTCGGCAAATCCAATCTGAGTCCGATTGCGGGTTGCTGCCGGCTCTGTCAGACAGCACGACGGCCTGCGAGAATGTGAAGACGCTCGCATGCGCACCCGCTAATGCTGCGGCGAAACTCAATTGTAAGTGCAGATTTCACGCCGCTGACAGCCGAAAACCTGTCTCTGTCGAGGTCGATAGCGTGCGTCGCACGCAATGCCAGCCATATCCCGTGCGCTCGGCGGAGAAACAAACGCAGGGACTGAGAAACAGACGTCTCGACTGGGAAACACACACAGGAACTATAGTTGTTATAGTTATATAGAGAGAAAAAGACGCAGGTGCCGGTTACTCTACTTCTCGAAATAGACGCAGTTTAGTCGTTCTCCTTTACTATAGTGTGAACCGGACAGGGACTATTGTTGCGTTATCGCTCTAGTGAGAAGCAGACGTATGCACTAGTTCCGCTCCTTCTATCCTTGCAAATAACGAGCGCATTACTTGTAGGGTAACAATCAGCGAGGGTTACTTGCGATCCCTTTCACCGATCGTGCTCTGTCCGATCGCGCGTTAACGCGCCATAATTATACGAAATATTGCATCTGAACGCCACGTTATACTAACCACTACAAACCACTACGATGTAATTAGGGAAACAGAGCGTCTCAATGGGATTTTTCTCTCCTGTACGAATTGCTTTGACGTCGATTTACGATGCGATGCATATGAATCACCGCATATAAAAATATTCGAACGTATATTATAGGGCAAATAAAAATATTCCATATTGGAGACACGGTAGGTTTTGTGAAGAGAAATTCGAAGCGATATATGAATCAAATATGGTTTCGGTTGCTCGTGGCATCGTATATGAACGGAGTGTATGAGGTAAAAGCCGTGTTATTAAAAAAAGTGTCTTATCAATCACGAACGAGCGTGAACAAACGAAAAAACGAACGAACCAACGAACACGACGAACAGGAACACGAACGAACACGAACGAACACGAACAAACGAACGAGCCACAGTAAACAAATTTACGGTCAAAACTGACTGTAGGGTATTGCGGTCATTTATTGGGGCCCATATATCTGAAGCTCTTCAGCGATGTCACATTCATTCTGGATGCTTAATGATTGTAAAGTAAATGACAAATAAAATTATTCTCAATTTGTATGCATCCAGTTTTAGTTGATTATGTAGCAAGCTACAGCTGCGTTGGACACTTAAATATTTCTGCCTGACGTCAATGGAAAATGTCACCCACTCTCGTGAGTATATTCCTGCTACGAGTTTCACGTAAAACTCTTTCTTTCTGCCCTCTTGCGTGCCAACGTCTTTCTTTCGGTCCCCTATTTTCTTTCTCGCAGTTACTCTCATTTTGTTATGTGTGCAACTTCTCGTACTATATTATGAAGTACAATAATTGCATGCTAGCCCCAATCGCGCATGGCATATCTGTGATTATCCAGGTTTTGTACTGCATCTATAAGTTTGCGTAATCTCGTCGAAATTTCTTGATTCTCATCATCGGCGCCTGAACTGATATTCTAGCTACCTTCTTTTGTGTGCCGAGTACTACATGTGTCGAGCCACGACGTTTATCATATATATAAACACACATACACGGATCACCTATATGCTGGTGACGACTGCGTTAATCACTCTTCCCTGCCATTATCGATTTGCAATCAGTCTCTGTTACTTCCTAATCCCGCACTGCACTATGGGTTCATCTGCGAAGCCAGGGGTGGCCCCGCGGAGCCTTTAAGAAATTAAACGCCCAACAGTGTATGGGAATAGCTTGAAACACATCGAGGCGTGACGTCACTACCACCGTGGCTTTACATGAATGCCATGCGATCGCAGGCAAAATCTCTGCCTCACCACTGCATTCGTGCCCAATGTATATTGCACTATTCTCTGGTCCATTATTTGGCAGCCGCGTGTATTATCAGGTAATGATCCGGAGCAATGTGGAGGAAGTCGTAAAATATATAGTGGCACGCGACAGGTTGCGACCATTATCAGTTGATATCATTATGTGCTGTAGAAGTAAGGAAGCATGTTCACTCGCTATACTAAAGTTGTTATTGTAATACCGACCCCGTTATTACATTCGTGCATGCAGGTGTTAAATGCGCTAGGTTGATATATCACTCATTGTATCCCGATCTCTACGGGCTATGCTATTATTACTTTACCTGTTTGCCTGATATCTGACAGCCTACGGAAATTGAACGACCTTATCTGACCTACTAGTAGTTGCGTACTAAATAAATAAATAAATATATATGATATATATATATATATATATGTGTGTGTGTGTGTGTGTGTGTGTGTGTGTGTGTGTGTGTGTGTGTGTGTGTGTGTGTGTGTGTGTGTGTGTGTGTGTGTGTGTGTGT